GTTGTGTTGGGTATGGGGAGGGGGGTGGAGGTTGAGGGTTGGGAGGAGGGAAGGGGAGGAGGAGGTGGGGAGGGTTTTGGAGGGGGTTTATGGGTGGGTTTCGTAGGGGGATGGTGTTGATATTTTGATGGGGGAAAGGAAAGAGTTTGATGTGACATCAGAATGGGACGGAGTTTGGTATTTACAAAGACATTGTGAATTATGACAGCGGAGGTTAAAATGCATGGATTAGACGGCAGACAGACTGACTGATAGATAGCATTGTTGGATAGACTTCGACAAAGAAGGCGATGCCTCGGCACCAATGAATGACAGCGTCCAGCCAAAACGTTCTTTGTCCTTCCCCCTGCATTGAGAAACAAAGTCTGGAGCATCATTCAACGGCTCCACACCAGTCCGGACCGCCATCGAACGGTCATCATGTAGCTGAAACACCGTCACCACAAAGTGAATGTCCGCCTTTGGATTGCATTAGCGCCCGTCCGCGTGGGTTTTCCCGTCCCGTATCCGGCGATCCCCGTTGGCTGTGGGCCGGCTGAATGGGCGGGAAGGATCAATGGTGTGTAACGATAAGAGGTTATTCCCGGTCTGACAGCGCTGATTGGGGTTGCACGGCATGGGCTGTGCCGGGTTGATGGAAGGGCTGGAAGAGGAGGTTTATCTCCGGACGGGGTTACCAAGGTTGGATTCGATGTCGGATTTGGTGATTGATGTTTGAAGGTAGTAGCGCCTATCTGAGGACGGGGTTAATGGTGGAGGCGGTGACTGGTTTGGGGGATTCAGCTGGGGAGAGGAGCGTTAGTTTGGGGATGGGAGGTGGTTCGAGAATGGGGGCTGAGGTGGGAGTCTGAGTGGTGCATGTGGATATAAGATGGAAGGGGCAGATCTTGGATGTCGATGATGGTCAGTATCGAGATTGAAAAAGTCCATCTGGCGAGAAGACACCAGCCACAAAACCTCAGCGTCAGCGTAGCAGAAGACGTGACTCAAGTCAGCGCAACATGCACGGCAAACCGACCCACCCCCTAAAGGCGGTCATCCCCCCTTCTATTCTGCCAGAAGCAGTCCTCCACCCAGACCACGAGCAAATCGACCGCCATGTTATGACATACCTCCTCAACACATGGGAATGGCCGTCGGAAAAAGACATACAGGCGTTCATCAGTTGGAAGCTGAGCGAAGTCGTGCTGTTTATGTTTCCCACGGGGGAGGCGGAGCGTGTGAAGCTCGCGTGTGAGCTTTTACTCTTAGGCTTCCTCATGGATGGTCAGTTCCCCCCACATGTCACCCCTTTGTTGTTTCAATCACTGACAAAAGCAGACTACTCTGACAAAAACACCCTCTCCACCAACGCCAGCATCGTCTCCTCTCTTCACTCCCTTTTGACCTCCCCCGAGATGACTGTTCCGGTGACAACAATCGACAGCATGCACGCGGGTTTGTTTGCCAAGTTCTTGACG